GACTCTGATATCTCACCAGAAGAGACATATCGAACGGCCCTTCCGAAAACAGTGGTTGTTGTGGATGAGGCTCAGGTGCGACTAACCATTTGTTATCTATCGAGGTTATCGTCCTTCAACCGTTCGTCGATACATGTTCTTGTCCCGGATCTAATGTGTGTCACTAAAAATAACAAAAAAAATGAAAGTTAAAAACAAGAACCGGATAACTTTGAACTAAGTTCTCCGCATGAAATTAAAAATCGGATAACCTTGGTGCTAGTTTTCTGGTGTATAACTTTAAGAACCGGATGACATGGTTAAGAGTTATCTGGTTAGAATAGATGTGAACTGGATTACTATAAGACAAGCTATCCGGTGTATAATATTTTCCTGAATAAATCGGATAATTTACTTTTAAGATTTACGGTGTGAAAAACTAAAGAACTGGTAAACTTTGACTCATGTTCTCTGGTACGTTATTGAAATAGATATCTCTGGTATGTGATTTTCGGTTTTCAAATGCTCTCGCTTTCTGTATAATGAAATGAGAAAAAAAAATGATAATTTCTGAAGTCTAAGTATTTATACAGGGGCATTTTGATCCAAGTTCATAATTTATAGGAGTAGAGGGATAAATAAAAGGATATGGGGTAAAATTTTCTTGAAGAGTGCTTGCTTTCCAAAGGAGAATTCTGGCGGAGCTCCTGATTCTTTTTAGCTTGGGCAAGATTGGCTTTTTGGGCTAGGAGAATTTTGGATTTGGGCTTCGAACCGGATTTGGGGGTTAAGATCCAAAATTCCATATTGGGCTTTCACCGGTTCAATGGGCCTATTAGTAACTCTTTTATCTTTCAGAGACCGCTTTGGCACTTTCAAAGGTTTATTTACTTCTATGTTTACGCTTTTCATCCTCTTAGGTTTACTTATTCCAAGATTTGGTAACATCTTTTTTATCCTAGGAATACTCTCTCTGATATCTAGAACTCTTTCAAGTGTTGACTCATGCACATTATATTTTCCCATTTTGACACATTTTCCTTCTTCTGCTCGCGAAAAGACCACTTAGGCTTTATCATGATTTTTGGACAACTCCAAACTGACCATGTCTATGGCTTTATCATGATTTTTGGACAACTCCAAACGTGACACGCCCACTCTACTGTTTAAATAGACATCATGACCATCCTCTTTGATTTATGAACCCACAGCTTCATCCAACCGCTCATCGAAGTTCAGCCTTGACTCCGATGAATCTTCAAAATTACCTATATCTGGGGAAGAATAAATCATCAAAGGCCCGTGTGCTTTCTCCAAAACTCTTACCTTGAACATCTCCCCGCTAATCAAAACATTGAAGGTTTCATTGATGATTGAGGAACATTTAGTTCTAACTAATACTCTTGCTACATCCATGCTAGAGCGAGTATTAGTTCCCTCATTGGAGCAAATATTGATGCCCATCAACTTAGCCATGAATTCAAAGAAGACGGTGTTACAAGTATGACATGGAACACCATAGATTCGCAACCAAGTAACTTTTTCCATATCAATATCATTTGCTTCCCATTTTCTTACCTTTTTAAACCATCAGTTCAACCAATCCCATCCATTTTCTAAAAGCAATGCAAGCTCCCTTTCTTCTCTTCCTTCCAATAAATAAAGATTTGCACCTAATGGAGTGGCTTTTAGGGCAAAGTAACCTTCTGAGTTGAAAATATTTTGAATATTGTGTGTCAGGCTTGGATTCTCAATTACCTATATATAAGCTTTGTTAAGTCTAAGTAACTCTTCTTGATTTTCATATTGAAATACCAGGCGGGCAGGAGACTGTTGCCTTTGCGATGAACTTGCTCCTCTTTGAAATATGAGAATTTAATTTGTCACTCCCCAAATTAAACCTAGCACTCCCATATATTTTAGTATTTTTCAAAATGTCCATGGAAAGATTTGAGTCAAAAATGCGAACAAAATTTTCGATAAAAGACAAAATTTATGATAGTTCATTTTTTTAAGTTGGTGGTATCAACTTGATTTTTTTAATATGATATCTTTAAATTAAAATCCGTATTTTCAAAATTGTTCATATCGGACTGGAAATTTCAAAAAATAATTGAAATTTCTGATAATTTAAAAAATTGCTCGGCATTAGCTTTATAATTATGAGCCATAAAAACTCCACAGATTGTTCCTGCTAAATAAAAGAGAAGCAAAACCCCTTGTTGCTCTAGCACTAGCTATGGACATTGCTATCAAGATATCTTCAGTAAGAATCACTTTTGGGATCACAATTAATCAAATTAACGTTTGGTTAAAACCATAATTTCACAAGTGGTTTCAAAGTGTGTAAAGTGCTTAACCTAATGATCAAATTAACGTTTGGTTAAAACCATAATTTCACAAGTGGTTTCAAAGTGTGTAAAGTGCTTAACCTAATTTTTACATATCTCATTTTTTCAAAGCTATTAGACTGTGTGAAGTACTTAACCTATCTCTAAACGAGTGTAGTTCAATTTTTTTAAACTAACGGATATCTTAATTTTTCTTGAAATTTTCGATAAGATACGGACAATTTTGAAAATGTCGGTATTAGTTTATAGATATTGAATTTTTTAAAAACAAATATAAGTTAATTTAGTCAATTTAAAAATAAACTACTCAAAATTTGATCTGTTATCGAAAATTTTGAATGAACTACTAAAAATTTTGTTTGAACTTTTGATTCAAATTTGTAAAATTCACCTCTCACAAGCGCGAATTTGAATTGTCTGGGAGGATATCGAAAATTTCAAAATCAGTAAGTTTTTTATCGTAAATTACCAAATTTCTATGATTTTGTATCCAAAATTTCAAAAGTTTTAGTAATGATGAAAACATTTTAACCGAGGATTTCAAAATTTCCGGAACAAAATCACCTAAAAATTCTCGAAAATTTTAGAATTTTTGGTAGTTATAAAAATTTTGTTTTATTAATTTTTTACGTCTTTTACAGTGAAATACAGGAGCAGGGACGACATTATTGCAGGCAAAACGACAAATAGAGTGATAGATCATGTTAGGGCTGCTAAGTCTTGCCAGATATTAGATGGACGAGTAGTCCTAATCGGTCCACACCGGAAACAGTTGGCTGATCAGGGGCAGTTTTGCGCACATCGTAACACCCGACGCCGAGCGATTAAACTAGTTGAGCGGCCCAAAGATGAGGTGATCCAGCCAAATGTTGTTGTTGCAGATGAGATGGTTGCTGATGAGGTGGCAGATGGGGTGGTCCAGCTAAATGTTGTTCTTGCATATAATGTGGTCCAGCCAAATGTCGCGGTTACTGATCTGGTCCCATCTAGTACAACTGACACAGAGGTTACGGCTCCTTCGACCGAGCTGTCTGTGCACACTGATTGAGAATTTTCAAAAGGACCCAATGATCGGTCAATGCTTACTAAATATGTTGACCATGTGACAGTCCGACTATGACAGGAAGAAGTATATATATTTTATGTTTAACTCTAGTTTATTTATTAATGTTTCATTAAAGCTAACTGCTAATTTTTTAAATTTGTTTGTTGTAAGATCGTATCCGACTGAATGTGTCATCGCACTGGTCGAAGCTGAAAGACTTTCCGAAGACTTCGATGCCTGAGGAGGTCAGACGTATTGTACGTGAGTTTGACCTCCTTGATTTTGCCCACTACTCCCTCATCATTCTCAACGCTCCACTAATTATTGTTTTTGTTGATAGATGGCACAAGGAGACATCTTCATCTCACCTTCGTATGTCTTGACTTTGAAAAAGGTACAATGAACTTGTTGCGGTTGGGAGTTATAAGGGTGCCGCTAGGATGTACATGCTACATCTAGTAGCATATACTTTCTTTGCGTACAAGTCAGGTGTTTATATTGACATTCGGTACGTGTGACTGTTCAGTAGCCTCGACATAATCCTGTTGGGTTTGAGAGTGTGATACATTAACCATCCTGTATACAGCACTTAGAGTGACGACAGTATTGTTTATATTGACGTCTAGTACGTTAACTGTCCAGTAGCTTCGACGTAATGTAATCCAGTGACGTCTAGTACGTTAACTGTCCAGTAGCTTCGACGTAATCCAGCTGGATTTGAGTTGGATTTGAGAGTGTGATACGTCAATCATCCTGTATACAACACTTAGAATGGCGACATTATTTAAGACCAGATAACTTGTTGGTTATTTGAGTTGGTTATTTGAATATGTTCCAAATACAGTTAAAATTATTATTTATTGTTGATTTCTAATTTAATTGTTATGATTATTATTTATTGTTGATTTCTAATTTAATTGTTAGGAATAACATTGGAGTCAGTATTCTTTTATAAATGCTTGATATAAAGAGTCATCTAAACATCATACACTAATCATAGGATTGTTGATATAAGGGTCATCTTGATATAGAGTCATCTAAACATCATACACTAATCATAGGGTTGTTGATATAAAGGGTCATCTGAACATCATATACTAATCATAAGGTTCATGGGGTTTGACAAATATAAAGGGGGTGGCAAGTTAAATACACTAATATGGTTGTGTTAGCCCCTATTTTACACCCCTTGGTTCCTAGAATCCTCTTCACCATAGTTTCTCCGAAACCTGGTTTTCACAAACAAGTACCCCGTATATACTGACAAATTTAAACATAGTAAAAATATCTAATTATAAATGTGGATTAATCCATGCATGAGCAGGGGAAAATCCTGAACTTCCCTGCTAATTAGCAGACCCTTTTAAAGACACTATTTGGAAGTAGTAATGGGCATAACTATTAAACGCGCGCCATTAAATTTGAAAAGAAGTCCTATAACAAAACGTTCATAATAAAGTTGACCAGCACCATTGGAAAAGTTACAACTAACATCAAAAATAGTAAAATACAATGATGTAAAGATAAAATATTCAGAAGTACAGCACAATTTACTGACAAAGCCAGAAACAGAACCCAACTAAGATAACAGCGATATAAAATTCATGAAAATAAAACTAATTTCTTTAAATCTTGTCTTCAAAATCAGAGAGTGGTGTCATTTGCTCCTTCAAACCCTTCCTCTTACGAATATCAGTAACAAGTGTTGCAGCTTGTGAACCAGCCTCCAATGGATCTGAGCCCATCATGTCCCAGTGATCAAACACACACTGGGGGAAAGCCTGACCAGATGTTGCAGCCCTCAACTGGCTGGAGAATCCAAAAGACTCAATAACAGGAAGGTATGCTTTGATGTTGTAAAGAGGAGTACCAGGTCTCTGCATTTCTTCAAACACATGTCCACGTTTCTGGTTAAGAACACTGTAGATACCACCAAGAGCTTGCTCAGGAGCTTGGATTTCAACCATGTAAACAGGCTCAAGAAGCCTGGGTTTGGCTGTCAGCTGTGACGCATATATCACTCTCCTAGCAGTAGGAATGACCTGACCACCACCTCTGTGGATAGCATCAGTGTGCAACACAACATCACACACTTCAAAGCAGATGCCTCTCATGTTTTCTTCTGACAAAGCGCCTTCTTTGGATGCCCATTGGAAACCTGCAACTACAGAATCCTTGATTTCATTCAAGTACTGAACTCCCTTACACATATCAACCACCATGTTGGGTCCAGTGGTCTCAGGTCCAAAACACCAGATTTTCTTAGCAAGATCCTTATCCCATCCATACTCTTCAGACAAGATTTTAGAACGAATCTTGGGGTCATCCCTTGGTCCAATCCTGCCATCATCAATGGCCTCTGCAAGCCCATCCTCCAGTGGTCTTGCTTCCATGTACAAACGGTTGTGCTTGTTGGGAGACTTACTCATCACTGTGCGGCATGACCTCTCAAGAACAGTCTCTCTGAAGGACACAACAGGGTCGGATTTGATGATTTCAGCTCCACCCATGAAATCATCCTGCAAGTCTTTCAAACAGATCTCTAGATGAAGCTCTCCTGCACCAGCAACAATATGTTCTCCAGACTCCTCAATGGTACAAACAACCATAGGATCTGACTTAGCAAGACGTTTCAGACCTTCAACAAGCTTAGGAAGATCTGAAGCAACCTTACACTGAACAGCAACACGCACAACAGGTGAGACAGAAAACTTCATAGCACGAATAGGGTGTGCATCGACTTCCTTCTCATTAGTCAATGTTGCATTCTTGGTGATAAATTGATCCAAACCAACCAAGGCAACTGTGTTACCACAAGGCACATCCTCGACAGTCTCCTGCCTCTTTCCCATCCAAATGACAGTTCTCTGAACACTTTTAACATACAAATCTTTCTTCTCCCCAGGTACAAAATTTGGTCCCATGATTCTGACCTTCAAACCTGTTGAAACTTTACCAGCAAAGACACGGCCAAAAGCAAAAAACCTTCCTTTATCAGATGCTGGAATCATCTTTGACACATAAAGCATCAGAGGTCCATCAGGATCACAATTTCTGATAGCAGTAGCATATTGATCATCAAGAGGACCCTCGTACAAATTCTCAACACGATACCTCTGAGCTGTATGTGGAGAGGGAAGATGAAAGATCATCATTTCAAGCAGTGCAGTGCTTGCTGGGAGCCAGGTCTGCATGACACGCTTCATCAATGGCTTACCCATAAGGTCCTTCTCCTCAGACTTCATGGTGACCCCTAGCTTGGTCAGCATAGGCCACAACTTATCCTTCTGATCATTCATACATGTGTTAATAATTTGCTTGATAGGCTCATAACAGAACTGAACAAACCCACGCTTGCAAGTGGCTGAACCAGTATTCTTGGTGGTCCATTTCTTAGTAGCAGGATCAAAGAAATTTTCACCCCAGAGTCTTTCCATCATTTTGGATTCATCAACACCAAATTTGGAGGCATACATCTTAGCAAAGTTGGTCAAAGTAAAAGCCCAGCCATGCAGACCAGCAGAGAAAGCAACAGTTCCTTTCTCAGGATACACCTGAACATCACCAAGAAGTGGATCTTCATAGGTAGCCATAATGACATTGGCATTCTCAATAACCCTTGAAAAGGTCTGATATGCCTCCTCTCCATCAACTTGGAGCTCAAGAAAGCACCTGTCCATCTTATTAACAGTAAGAACAGGCCTAATCCTTTCTCCAAGAGCCTGTCGCAGCACAGTTTCAGTTTGTACACAAACTCCCTCAACACAATCCACCACCACTAATGCTCCATCAGTAATTCGAAGTGCAGCAGTAACCTCAGATGAGAAGTCAACATGCCCAGGAGAATCAATGAGATTAATGAGATACTCATTCCCGTTGCGCTCCCCCTTAAAACTCTTCAGAGAAGCATCAGTCATCTCATAGTATAGAGAGATACCAGTGGACTTAATAGTAATACCACGTTCAGCTTCATCTGCACGGGTGTCTGTCATCCTGACATCTCCAGCAACCTCTTGTGCTATAATTCCAGCAGCAGCAACAAGGGAATCTGTCAAAGTTGATTTTCCTGCAAATGAAATAAAAACAGAGAACAACTCATTTTATTATTATTCAGACTAGCACAATGGTACGATAAAATATTACACCACACTATAAACAACCAAACAATGGTATAAAACCAATAAACTAACGTAGTAATAAGAATTGAAATCAATACTAGAAATAGTTGTACTTTATAAAGTAAAAAAAAAACACATTTTTTATTTATGAGGCGAATATTCTCTTGTCAAGTAAAAACCCAAATTAAAAATTCTATCTATTGAAATTAACAATAAAAAATAAAAACAATTTGCTACTAATTACCGTGATCAACATGAGCAATGACAGACATATTCCTAATGTTGTGCTTGTAGTCCATAATGCGACGTAACTCATCAGCTGTAAACTTCACCTGCAAAGAAATAAACAAATCACATATCAGATTATAACTATTCATCCAAGGTAAACAAACAAGTAAATTCCATTGAGCACAGTTCATAGACTTACCATCTTGTCTAGTCTTTATCTTAAATGTCCACAAAAGAGTATGTTAGGGCTGAAATATGAAAACATTCAATTTAGATACACAGACAAAATATGTTACAGTCCAATGACATTCAAATATATCAAAACAGATTATTTCATCGGTATACATGGGAACATCCATGCAGCAAGATTAATTCAGATTTGCAAACGACAACATCATAACATCCTCAGTTTTTTTAATAAAAAATATCAAAAAATAAGCAATATTATCACAGAACAAATCATAAAAAATCTCAAACCAAAATATCTGAAATATTGTTTACACTTTAAACCAAGATCTGTTCATTGCAAATAGTAAACAGATACGAACACATATAGTCATTGAAAAAAACTTAAACATTTTCAAACAAATCACAAAAAAAATAATCCTATTAAACAAATTCAAGGAAAAAAAAACGATTTAACCAAATCAAAAAAGCAAACAATTTTACACATAATAGCATCAAATGCATACATATAGCACGAAAATCAACTGCATCAACTTACCACAAAAGAGGATAATCTAAAAACACACAAAAATTATGAAAACGAAATCAAATTGTTTGAATATAATACAGATCTAAAGAAATTATAACTGAATCACATAAACTAACCGACGAGAACGAAGAGGAAATCGGCGAGGACGACCGTAGAGGGAGCAGAGGTTCCCTTCACAGCCGAGCGAAATAAAACCCTAAAGTTAAGTGAGAGACACTGAGGCGCAGCTTAAATATTAACGCGTATTTATCTTATAAACTTTTTAATTTTCGATATAAAAATTCGGAAAATTATTTTATTATTAAATGCTTATGCTTATTTGTACTTGGTGTCTTTCAAAATTTATCTTAAACAGTATTTTAAAAATTAACTTATTTATTTAATTAATATATAAGTATAAATAAGTATAAAATGATAAGCAAAAATTAGAATTGAAAGAAAAAATGTTGCAACAAAACTTAATATTTTTTAATATAAAAAAAATTTTGAAAAATGTATTGTTTAATTGAATAAAAAATAATTAAATTAAAACAAAATCATTTATATGAAAAATAAAGGTGCTAAGAAAAAATTTAAAATTTATGTCATCCTTAAAAAAAATCTAAAATCTATTTAAAAAACGGATCTGTCTATTAATTAGGAATAAAAAATATTTTACTTAAGATTTAAATTTAAATAATTTTAAACAAAGTTTTTAATTTATTTTAGTTTAATTTGATATTAACGTTGAAAATAATTATAATAAAAGTTAAACATTTTTAATAATTCAAGCATTTTGTTTACTCAAATCAAAATAATCTAAGAGTTGTGAATTACTTACGGTATAAAAATTATTTATAAAGATATATTAATTAAATTCTACAGTTTTTTAGTCATTTGAGTCTAACAATTTGATTTTTAAAAAAGTTAATTAATTGCAAAGTTAAATATATATTTTTAATTAAATTAGTTTAATTTTATAAAAAAAGTTAATTAATTTAAAATAAAATCATTAATTACTTTTTTCACATTATATTATATGCTTTAAAATATTAATAATTTATTTGAAAATTACATATATATTTAATTTTAGAGAGATATAATTAGATTCATTAAATTATACTTTTATTTAATTAATAATACCTCTTAAATAAAATAATTTGGGTCCAGTCAAAATATTTAAGCGACATGACTAAAACAAAATAATTGAAATTTTTTTTAATTTTTCAGTCAAAGTAAAAGAATAAATAAAATAAATATTTAGAAAGTTTTTATAAGAATTTAAGGGGGATTATGTGTATATATCATAAAAGTTTTTGAAAAATCTACAATCTTCCCAACATTTGTTTGTATTGAATCAAAGAAAAACATGAGGTAGTTTTTTCCAAATTTTAAATAATCTGTTTTTTTAAATTAAACACTAAATAAATTAATATTTTCAAAATTTTATACAAATAATCATGTTTTAGAATGGCATAAGAAGAATGTGCCATTTGAAATGGCCCTCGTTTTTCACCCATACACCAATTCAATTAACTTGTGCGTGTAAGACAAACCATATGAAATGGTGGCACCATATAGGTCCATAACACATGCGTCATTTTCATATGGCGCATCTTATTTCCATCATTTTTTTTTAATAATGTGTGTATGCGCCATTTTATATGGCTATTGCATTATAACATCATTATAAATATAAATACAGCATCACCTCCTCTTCATTTCTCGCAATTCTTTTAAAGGTATCATTCCATTTTTTATAATCTCCTTCCATTTTTCTTTCAAAATGGCTTACTCTTCTTCCTCTTCATATCTTTACAAGGTTCCCTGTATCCACAAGAGAAATGTTGGTTTAATTTTTTTAAAACCTCCGATGAAGATCCGCCTCTGGAATAACGTTCGAACATCTTAACAGGAGTCTATCTGTTGGTTAGATGAAGATATTTCATAAGATGAAAAGATCAGAAAAATTGAAAGGCTTGTTACCATGTTCAACCAAAATGGAGAAGTTCGTTTTTAGGAGAATGTTAAAATTGATAGAGATGTTTAGATTTTGACGTATAGTTCTCAGGAAATTGCCCTGATGGTTGTAATTGCATAGTTATGTTGTTTAGTCGTTGTATTTGTTTGTTTTGTTGTTTAACTTTTTAAATTATTATTACTTGTTGTTTTTAAATTATTGTTATTGAATGTTATGATATTTATGAAATGAAAGTTGTTTTTGATATAAAAAGAAACGCTTACATTTAAAATTATGTTGTTGTGCTTGGTCCAACATTTAGACATTTTGTATGATTGTGTTCGGGCTGACGACATAAACTACATAATCTCACCATTTTGTTAGTCGTGTCCATTTTCGTTCGAATATGTGTGCTATTAGGGCGGTCATTTTTCTTTCTTTGCATAATTTCATTGTACTAGACTATTTCCCCTTCGTATTGCATGCCAATAGTCTTCTTTTGCTACCATCGAAAATCTAGTGTTGTAGATATTGCATAGATTTATGACTTGGTAAACAACATATAGTAAGTTGGAAGGGTCCTGGCAAGCCTTTGAACATGTTGTTATGACATGAGAGCAAGACATAAGAAAGGCTTGAAACTGTTCGCAGTCACACTAAATTATATCTAGTTCCACTCGATAGAATCCCCTCGGCATCCCTTCATTGTGATCCATTAACTCATCAACACTGAACCAATATTTATTGTGGTTAAACATTGTGACCACATGTGCATTAGCTTTGGCAGCTTCCTCCTTAATGAATTTCATTGAACTATTATTGAACAACTGCCCAGATTGTAAAACAAAACTCCATTTTGAACGTCTGATATCAAAAAGTGCCCCAAGCCTAAAATAGGTTGCCCTTACCAAAGCGATTATTGATAGGTTTCAGATGCCTTTGAATACATAGTACATTGATTCCACGATATTTGTTGTCATGTGGCCCCATCATTGTCCATTGTCGTATGCCCTTGTCTATTTCTCCAACGGAATATTATCGATCCACCTTAATGCATCTGCATTTTTCAATCTGACTTCTTCACGGTAGTGTTTGAAGGAAGGTTTTGTTAATGCATACTCTGCGTTCATAACCTTCTTCTGCAGCGTCTTGTCATTAATCTCCCGTATGAAATTTTAAGCGATATGTCTAATGCAATAGACATGCGTTGAAGGAGTATCCTGCCACTCTTATCAAGATTCTTATATGCACTCTCAATTGATGCATATTTGTACAAAATCAAACATATGTTAGGTTGAGAAGCCACGTGTAATCGGAGATTTTTTAGGAAAAAACTCCATCCCACAACAGTCTCCCCTTCAACTAGAGCGAATGCGATTGGAAAAATGTTGTTGTTGCCATCTTGTGCCACTACCATGAGTAGCGTTCCTTTATATTTCTCGTATAACCATGTTCCATCAATTTGTATAATAGGTTTACAGAAGGAAAAACTTTTGATACATAGTTCAAACGCCCAAAAGAGTCTATGGAATATGTCATTTCCACTAACACAAGTCTCGTCTGGGGCATATGCCGACAAGGTCTTCAAAATGACAATACTCCTTGGAGCATAATGCTTAAGTGCCACCAAATATTTTAGAAGTTCTCTGTATGACTCCTCCCAATTTCCGAACACCATTTCAACCGCCTTAGTCCTAGCTATCCATGATTTCCTGTACGACGAAGTATAATTGTATCTTTGAATGATGTGCGAGATTATTATACTCACCTTCAACGACGGATTGTCGTTAATGACAAACGGAATTTCATTGCATATTAATTGAGAGTTGAGTTTGCGATGATCCTGCATTAGATTGGTGATTATACAAGTGTGTTATAAACCCATAGACCATATCTTCCAAGAATCACTTCTCTTCCGATAAAATATTGTCAATGGAATAGACAGAGCTCATTACGACAGTAAATCTTATACATAGTCATATTCGTTCAATCGTCCCTATAATCAACTAATAATTCCATGTGATATTGTTTTATAGCTCGGACACAAACTTCTTTTATTCTAAAATTGTCCCCCTCTTTCAATGCTCCTTGTGTTTGCATATATGGATTGTAAAAAATATTTGAAGATGGTTCATTTACACCCAAGTTCAAGTTTGTCATGTGTTGTGGTGGAAAATAAACATGATTGGCCGGTAACGGGTCTTCCTCGCGGTCGGCAGTGGAATCGTTTTCCATTTCATCAACCAAGACCCCAGCTTCTTCTTCTTCGTTAACAACATTGACTTCAACTTGTTCGTCGTCAGATTCGCAAAAAACTTGAGAAGGATCAATGAGTTAAGACATTTGATGTTGTTGTTGTATACTATAAAGCTCAATATCATTGAAATCAGAATATTCATGACTGAGAAATATATTATGAACATCTTCATCATCTCGAACCTTTAACTAGAAAAACTTGACTTGGTTGTCGGTAAAAAACATTGGATTCTTATAGATGATCTGGCCAACTAGACCACGCTATAATTTCTTTTCAAATATCTCTTTCAAA